GAATTGCATCCTTGAGATGCTGTCTCGAATGTCCAGTCAGGGCGGTACAGGCGTCGGACAGTCGAATCGAATGCCTGCTTTACCGTCGACCCCCGCGACGGCCAGCTCTCCCGCGGGGCAGTTGGCGGCCGACAGCTTCTCCACGTCGACCGGGTTCGGCGTCAGCAGTGCCGGAGGTGCGTTGGCGTCTTCAGGCGCCAACGCGAGTGCTGAGGCCCGGCAACGTGTGGCACTGATCACGGCCCAGGCCGGGCTGGCCAGACGCAGTGCGGAGGCTGCATGGGCCAGACGCTTCCGCCTGCTACAGCTACGCCTGGTCGTGGTCGGCCTAGAGCAGGAGTTGGACGACATCGTCAGCTGGTTTCTTAACGTGTGTCTCCGTCAGCACAACCTAGTCACCATTTTTTACTTTTACTTCATTAACTCGCACTACTGACTCAGGCTAAGTCTATGGCTGCTTCTAAGCCGCCCCGGAAACAGTGTTGTTTTGAACCTGTTTTCGCAACTTGATCGTGCTTTCTGGAAACTTTTGAAGACATTCTTGAAGCCACCTTCTTCGGTGGATTTGAAACAAACGAAGATACATGACGTGAGGTTGAGGAAAGGGGATACATCGTCATGAGCTAGGGGGTAACAACAAAGTAGTCGTTGGACACTTTAGGCGATTTAAAGACTGATAGTTGAATTTTTCCCTCAATGAGATAAGTAGGCGTCATCATGTCAGGGAATTTCACACATCCTTACTTTGAACAGGTTTGCTCAGCACCTCAAGCGGTATTCAACACCATGTCGTCCTAGTATGACTATGTTTCCATTCAAGAATTATTGATAGTTCGAAGCCTACTTATATCAAACATAAGTAGTGTCATCGATACTGGTGGCAGACCTATGTTTGCTTACTCGACAATCCCACTATAAATTTTAGATGACTGAGACCTGGCTTGCCTTGAATGTCGTATCTGCCAGTGGCCTAGTGAACTAGGCTTCGAATTCCGCTGAGGGTGCTAATTGAACCTACTTAAGCTCTAAACTGTAGTTCATCCTGGATGTTATAGGCTTTTGAGAGGTAAGGCATCGTGGGATCTACTCACCTGATTGTGGGCGAAAATCATCCATCAGTCCTTAAATCACATTAAGTGACCTAGCGTGGCTGTATACTCATTCAAGGGTAGATGTCACAGGAGATGAAAAGAAAAGTTGGGACGGCGTCGCTTAATGAGGCTGATGGCAAAACGTCTGGGAATATACCAAGTCAACGGTCCGAAGCTGGAAATTATTATAAATGTTATGGAAGAGGACCCAGAACTGGGTACATTAAACAAGCTCTCTTTGTCCCCAAGATCCCGGCTCAAACCAACACTAAACAGCTGAAGAAGGCTGCACCCAAACCTAAGGCCTCACCATCCTGGCCTTGATGTCTACCATCTTGCTTGAAAATAGCGTCCTCCATTGAGGACAGATGAGAAAATTTCACAATGATAGTGAAATTTAAGTTCGACAAATTTTGTCTGACAAGGTGCCATCATTTCTGTCAATGATTTGAACTCACAGTGGACTTTAAAAATATGCAGGGTTCTCCACTTCCGATTTTCCGTGAATACTTTTCGTATTTAAGTGAATAAAAATCTTAAATCACCATTTGTCATATACCGTGATTTAAAGATTGATCATTGAACTTCACCACAAAATGAGGCAAGTAAGCCCCGTAATACTAACGAATTTCACTCGGCCCTGTATAGTTTCGCTATCTTCTTCGCCATCTTGTCAGAACGACAGCGACATCTTGTCAAACATGCCTAGACCTCGTCCTCCAGCAGAATATTCATGATAATTACATACTTTGGACTGTTGAATGGGTAGTCCCAGTCGTTTCGCTCGCATTGTTGATAGGAGGGATGTATCAAGTAGTTGAGTTGTGGGCTTGTAACAATATATGAGGTCTGTTCACCGTGTTTAGTTTAAGATGGTAAAGTTCTGGTAGTTTAATTTTCCCACAATAATATGAGTATAAACTACATTTCAATTTAATGTTAAATGGCCTTGCTTTTTAAAATGTATTTTTATCCAGGCTGAGGTGGGTTATTGTTTCGACCTCGTATAAGTCTCATCAGCACCTCCAGCGGGACTCGAACGATGACAGTACAGCGTATAATCTCGATACTTTTAGCACTATGCCATATTACCCCGAGTGCCTTTGGGTCACAGAGCAAATTTAAATTTTCAGCAAGGCTAACCATCTTCCATATTCCATACATTTTCTAATAAAAGAAATTAAGTAACGTAGTCGATTGCTATAGTAATTACAACTTTTCTTCATCGACAATCCCACCACAGAATGTCATAAAAACACCCGCCCTTCTTTAAAATTCACATCTGTCCTGTGACCTTAGCCTTGTGATTATGGTTGAAAAGAAAATTAAGCAAAGAGCCAACATATGTTGGCTTTCTATAATCATCTCTTCCTAACCTACCCTCTTCTCTAATGATGAGGACGTCCAGAAAAGGTAAAGACTTATTCTCTTCCATTTCCATCGTAAACCTAATCTTCCTTTTACTCTGGTTGAGTGAAAATAGGAAACTATTTAAATTGTCCTTACCATGAGGCCAGATGACTAAATAGTCATCCATGTATCTAACCAACTATTTGGGTGTTAGTATTGCCTCTTGCAGGAAGTGTTCCTCCAATTTTGCCAC